GAGGTATCTTTCTTGGAAGTAAAGTGTTATTATTTACTGTATCTTTCTCTGGAAGTAAAGTGTTATTATTTAGAGTGTATCTTTCTCTGGAAGTAAAGTGTTAGATTTAGAGTGTATCTTTCTCTGGAAGTCAAGGGTGTTATTATTAGAGTGTATCTTTCTCTGAGAAGTAAAGTGTTATTATTTAGAGCGTATCTTTCTCTGGAAGTAAAGTGTTTATTTTAGAGTGTATCTTTCTCTGGAAGTAAGTGTTATTATTTAGAGCGTATCTTTTCTCTGGAAGTAAAGTGTTATTATTTTAGAGTGTATTTTCTCTGGAAGTAACGTGTGTTATATTGTAGAGTGTATCTTTCTCTGGGAAGTAAAGTGTTATTATTTAGAGTGTATCTTTCTCTGGAAGAAAGTGTTATTATTTAGAGTGTATCTTTCTCTGGAAGTAAAGTGTTATGTATTTAGAGTGTATCTTTCTCTGGAAGTAAAGTGTTATTATTTAGAGTGTATCTTTCTGGAAGTAAAGTGTATTATTTAGAGCGTATCTTTTCTCTGGAAAGTAAAGGTTATTATTTAGAGTGTATCTTTCTCTGGAAGTAAAGTGTTATTATTTAGAAGGTATCTTTCTCTGGAAGAAAGTGTTATTATTTAGAGTGTATCTTTCTCTGGAAGTTAAAGTGTTATTATTTAGAGTGTATCTTTCTCTGTAAGTACAGTGTTTATTATTTAGAGTGTATCTTTCTCTGGAAGTAAAGTGTTATTATTTTAGAGTGTATCTTCTCTGGAAAGTAAGTGTTATTATTGTAGAGTGTATCTTTCTCTGGAAGTAAAGTGTTATTATTAGTGTATCTTCTCTGGAAGTAAAGTGTATTATTTAGAGTGTATCTTTCTCTGGAAGTAAAGTGTTATTATTTAGAGCGTATCTTTCTCTAGAAGTAAAGTGTTATTATTTAGAGTGTATCTTTCTCTGGAAGTAAAGTGTTATTATTTAGAGTGTATCTTTCTCTGGAAGTAAAGTGTTATTATTTAGTGTATCTTTCTCTGGAAGTAAAAGTGTTATTATTTAGAGTGTATCTTTCTCTGGAAGTAAAGTGTTATTATTTAGAGCGTATCTTTCTCTAGAAGTAAAGTGTTATTATTTAGAGTGTATCTTTCTCTGGAAGTAAAGTGTTATTATTTAGAGCGTATCTTTCTCTAGAAGTAAAGTGGTTATTATTTAGAGTGTATCTTTCTCTGGAGTAAAGTGTTATTATTTAGAGTATCTTTCTCTGGAATTAAAGTGTATTATTTAGTGTATCTTTCTCTGGAAGTAAAGTGTTATTATTTAGAGTGTATCTTTCTCTGGAAGTAAAGTGTTATTATTTAGAGTGTATCTTTCTCTGGATGTAAAGTGTTATTATTTAGAGTGTATCTTTCTCTGGAAGTAAAGTGTTATTATTTAGAGTGTATCTTTCTCTGGAAGTAAAGTGTTATTATTTAGAGCGTATCTTTCTCTGGAAGTAAAGTGTTATTATTTAGAGTGTATCTTTCTCTGGAAGTAAAGTGTTATTATTTAGAGTATCTTTCTCTGGAAGTAAAGTGTTATTATTTAGTGTATCTTTCTCTGGAAGTAAAGTGTTATTATTTAGAGTGTATCTTTCTCTGGAAGTAAAGTGTTATATTTAGTGTATCTTTCTCTGGAAGTTAAAGTGTTATTATTTAGAGTGTATCTTTCTCTGGAAGTAAAGTGTTATTATTTAGAGTGTATCTTTCTCTGGAAGTAAAGTGTTATTATTTAGAGTGTATCTTTCTCTGGAAGTAAAGTGTTATTATTTAGAGTGTATCTTTCTCTGGAAGTAAAGTGTTATTATTTAGGTGTATCTTTCTCTGGAAGTAAAGTGTTTATTATTTAGAGCGTATCTTTCTCTGGAAGTAAAGTGTTATTATTAGAGTGTATCTTTCTCTGGGAAGTAAAGTGTTATTATTTAGAGCGTATCTTTCTCTGGAAGTAAAGTGTTATTATTTAGAGTGTATCTTTCTCTGGAAGTAAAGTGTTATTATTTAGAGAGTATCTTTCTCTGGAAGTAAAGTGTTATTATTTAGAGTTGTATCTTTTCTCTGGATGTAAAGTGTTATTATTTAGAGTGTATCTTTCTCTGGAAGTAAGTGTTATTATTTTAGAGTGTATCTTTCTCTGGAAGTAAAGTGTTATTATTTAGAGTGTATCTTTCTCTGGAAGTAAAGTGTTATTATTTAGAGTGTATCTTTCTCTGGAAGTAAAGGTTATTATTTAGAGTGTATCTTTCTCTGGAAGTAAAGTGTTATTATTTACTGTATCTTCTCTGGAAGTAAAGTGTTATTATTTAGAGTGTATTCTTTCTTGGAAGTAAAGTGTTATTATTTAGAGTGTATCTTTCTCTGGAAGTAAAGTGTATTATTTAGAGTGTATCTTCTCTGGAAGTAAAGTGTTATTATTTAGAGCGTATCTTCTCTGGAAGCTAAAGTGTTTATTATTTAGAGTGTATCTTTCTCTGGAAAGTAAAGTGTTATTATTTAGAGCGTATCTTTCTCTGGAAGTAAAGTGTTATATTTAGAGTGTATCTTTCTATGGAAGTATAAGTGTTATATTAGAGGTATCTTTCTCTGGAAGTAAAGTGTTATTATTTAGAGGTGTATCTTCTCTGGAAGTAAAGTGTTATTATTTAGAGTGATCTTTCTCTGGAAGTTAAAGTGTTATTATTTAGAGTGTATCTTTCTCTGGAAAGTAAGTGTTATTATTAGAGTGTATCTTTATCTGGAAGTAAAGTGTTATTATTCTGAGCGTATCTTTCTTCTGGAAGTAAAGTGTTATTATTTAGAGTGTATCTTTCTCTGGAAAGTAAAGTGTTATATTTTAGAAGGTATCTTTCTCTGGAAGTTAAAGTGTTATTATTTAGAGTGTATCTTTCTCTGGAAGTAAAGTGTTATTATTTAGAGTGTATCTTTCTCTGGAAGTAAAGTGTTATATTTAGAGTGTATCTTTCTCTGGAAGTAAAGTGTTATTATTTAGAGTGTATCTTCTCTGGAAGTAAAGTGTATTATTTAGAGTGTATCTTTCTCTGGAAAGTAAAGTGTTATTATTTAGAGTGTATCTTTCTCTGGAAGTAAAGTGGTTATTATTTAGGTGTATCTTTCTCTGGAAGTAAAGTGTTATTATTTAGAGTGTATCTTTCTCTGGAAGTAAAGTGTTATTATTTAGAGCGTTATCTTCTCTAGAAGTAAAGTGTTTATTATTTAGAGTGTATCTTTCTCTGGAAGTAAAGTGTTATATTTAGAGTGTATCTTTCTCTGGAAGTAGAAGTGTTATTATTTAGAGTGTATCTTTCTCTGGATGTAAAGTGTTATTATTTAGAGTGTATCTTTCTCTGGAAGTAAAGTGTTATTATTTAGAGCGTATCTTCTCTAGAAGTAAAGTGTTATTATTTAGAGTGTATCTTTCTCTGGAAGTAAAGTGTTTATTTTAGAGTGTATCTTTCTCTGGAGTAGAGTGTTATTATTTAGAGTGTATCTTTCTCTGGATGTAAAGTGTTATTATTTAGAGGTATCTTTCTCTGAAGTAAAGTGTTATTATTTAGAGTGTATCTTTCTTGGAAGTTAAAGTGTTATTATTTAGAGTGTATCTTTCTCTGGAAGTAAAGTGTTATTATTTAGTGGTATCTTTCTCTGGAAGTAAAGTGTTATATTTAGAGTGTATCTTTCTCTGGAAGTAAAGTGTTATTGATTTAGAGGTATCTTTCTTGGATGTAAAGTGTATTATTTAGAGTGTATCTTCTCTGGAAGTAAAGGTGTATTATTTAGGAGGTATCTTTCTATGGAAGTAAAGTGTTATTATTTAGAGCGGTATCTTTCTCTGGAAGTAAAGTGTTATTATTTAGAGTGTATCTTTCTCTGGAAGTAGTAAAGTGTTATTATTTAGAGTATCTTCTCTGGAAAGTAAAGTGTTATTATTTAGTGTATCTTTCTCTGGAAGTAAAGTGTTATTATTTAGAGTGTATCTTCTCTGGAAGTAAAGTGTTATTATTTAGTGTATCTTTCTCTGGAAGTAAAGTGTTATTATTTAGAGTGTATCTTTCTCTGGAAGTAAAGTGTTATTATTTAGAGTGTATCTTTCTCTGGAAGTAAAGTGTTATTATTTAGAGTGTATCTTTCTCTGGAAGTAAAGTGTTATTATTTAGAGTGTATCTTTCTCTGGAAGTAAAGTGTTATTATTTAGAGTGTATCTTTCTCGGAAGTAAAGTGTTATTATTTAGAGCGTTCTTTCTCTGGAAGTAAAGTGTTATTATTTAGAGTGTATCTTCTTCTGGAAGTAAAGTGTTATTATTTAGAGAGTATCTTTTCTCTGGAAGTAAAGTGTTATTATTAGAGTGTATCTTTCTCTGGAAGTAAAGTGGTTATTATTTAGAGTGTATCTTTCTCTGGAAGTAAAGTGTTATTATTTAGTGATCTTTCTCTGGAAAGTAAAAGTGTTATTATTTAGAGTGTATCTTTCTCTGGAAGTAAAGTGTCTTATTTAGAGCGTATCTTTCTTGGAAGTAAAGTGTTATTATTTAGAGTGTATCTTTCTCTGGAAGTAAAGTGTTATTATTTAGTGTATCTTTCTCTGGAAGTAAAGTGTTATTATTTAGTGTATCTTTCTCTGGAAGTAAAGTGTTATTATTTAGAGTGTATCTTTCTCTGGAAGTAAAGTGTTATTATTTAGAGTGTATCTTCTCTGGAAGTAAAGTGTTATTATTAGTGGTATCTTCTCTGGAAGTAAAGTGTTATTATTTAGTGTATCTTTCTCTGGAAGTAAAGTGTTATTATTTAGGTTGTATCTTTCTCTGGAAGTAAAGTGTTATTATTTAGTGTATCTTTCTCTGGAAGTAAAGTGTTATTATTTAAGTGTATCTTTCTCTGGAAGTAATAAAGTGTTATTATTTAGTGTATCTTTCTCTGGAAGTTAAAGTGTTATTATTTAGAGTGTATCTTTCTCTGGAAGTTAAAGTGTTATTATTAGAGTGTATCTTTCTCTGGAAGTAAAGTGTTATTATTTAGAGTGTATCTTTCTCTGGAAGTAAAGTTGTTATTATTTAGAGTGTATCTTTCTCTGGAAGGTAAAGTGTTATTATTAGGGTGTATCTTTCTCTGGAAAGAAAGTGTTATTATTTAGAGTGTATCTTTCTCTGGAAGTAAAGTGTATTATTTAGAGTGTATCTTTCTCTGGAAGTAAAGTGTTATTATTTAGAGTGTATCTTTCTCTCGGGAAGTAAAGTGTGTATTATTTAGAGTGTATCTTTCTCTGGAAGTAAAGTGTTATTATTTAGAGTGTATCTTTCTCTGGAAGTAAAGTGTTATTATTTAGAGTGTATCTTTCTCTGGAAGTAAAGTGTTATTATTTAGTGTATCTTTCTCTGGAAGTAAAGTGTTATTATTTAGTGTATCTTTCTCTGGAAGTAAAGTGTTATTATTTAGAGTGTATCTTTCTCTGGAAGTAAAGTGTTATTATTTAGAGTGTATCTTTCTCTGGAAGTAAAGTGTTATTATTTAGAGTGTATCTTTCTCTGGAAGTAAAGTGTTATTATTTAGTGTATCTTTCTCTGGAAGTAAAGTGTTATTATTTAGATTGTATCTTTCTCTGGAAGTAAAGTGTTATTATTTAGTGTATCTTTCTCTGGAAGTAAAGTGTTATTATTAGAGTGTATCTTCTCTGGAAGTAAAGTGTATTATTTAGAGTGTATCTTCTCTGGAAGTAAAGTGTTATTATTTAGTGTATCTTTCTCTGGAAGTAAAGTGTTATTATTTAGTGTATCTTTCTCTGGAAGTAAAGTGTTATTATTTAGAGTGTATCTTTCTCTCTGGTGTATGTGTGTAGCTGCAGGGTCGTCTGGCGGTGTTGCTGTGCAACGTGCGTCCCTGTCGGGTGAAGGGCGTGGTCTCCACGGCGATGGTTCTCTGTGGATCCGCCCCTAATGCCCATGGTAACGATAATGATGATGACGCCCAGGTGGAGTTTCTGGAACCGCCAAACTAACGCTGTACCTGGCGGACAGGGTCACTTTTTACGATTACCCCTGGTAAAAACACACAAACACCACACACACACACACCCCCCCCCACACACACAAACAAAAACCACCCAAAAAACCCACACACAAAACACACCAAAAAAAAAGGGGAAAGGAGGCAGGAGGGAGGAGCAGACAGAGCCCTGGTAACTACACACACACAACCCCCACAAACAGACAGACAGACGACAGACGAAAGGGAGGCAGGCGAAAGGGCAGAAGACAGACAGACAGACGACGGGCAGACAGGGCCCGACAGAAGAGAGAGAGAGAGGGGGAAGAGAGAGAGGGGGGACAGAAGACAGACAGACGACAGACGACAGAAAGAAGACAGGAAAACAGACAGGACAGAAGACAGAAAGAAGGACAGAAACAGACAGACAGACGACAGACAGGGCAGAGACCCTGGTAACTACTTGTTCTAATCTGTTAATCAAGTAATCCTTTAAATTGAGGTTAGGGTTTAAAATTTGGGTATTGGGTTTTGGGTTAAAAAAAAAATAATAAAAATAAAAAATAATAATAATAAATGGGTTTTGGGGTTAGTAATAAAATTAATATATGGGGGGAGGGAAAAATAATAATATAGGGTTAGGGTTAAAATTTAAAAAATAGGGTTTGGGTTTAAAAAATAATATAGGTTGGGTAATAATTTAAAACATATGGGGTTAGGGTTTAATAATAATAATAAATGGGTTGGGTTTAAAAATAATAATAATATGGGGTTTGGGTTAAAAAATAATATATGGGGGAGGGGTTTAAAAATAAAATATTGGGTTGGGTTAAAATAATAATATAGGGTTAGGGTAATAATAATAATAATATATTGGTTTTGGGTAAAAAAAAAATTTTGGGGGTTTGGGTTAATAATAATAAAAATATATGGGTTTGGGTTTAAAAAAAATAATAATAATAAATATGGGTTAGGGTTTAAAAATATATAAGGGTTAGGGTTAATAATTAAAATAGGGTTAGGTAAAATATAAATATGGGGAGGGTTAAAAATAATACTTATGGGTTAGGGTTAAAAATAAAAAATATATGGGTTTTTGGGTTTAAAAATAAAAATTGGGTTTGGGGTTTTAAAAATAATATAAGGGGTTAGGGTTTTTAAAATAATAAATGGGTTGGGGAATAATAATAAATAGGGTTAGGGTTTTAAAAATAAAATATAGGGTTAGGGTTTAAAAATAATAATATTGGGTTTGGGGTTTAATAAAATAATTAAAAAATATGGGTTTGGGTTTAATAAAATAAAAATTTAAATATGGGTTTGGATTAATAAAATAATAAAATAATAAATATGGGTAGGGTAATAATAATATATGGGTTAGGGGTTAATAATAATAATAATTTTTAGGGTTTGGGGTTTAAAAATAATAATAATAATAATAATAATAATAAATAGGGTAGGGGTTAAAATATAATAATAATAAATTTTGGGTTTGGGTTTAAAAAAATAATAATTAAAAAGGGTTGGGGTTAATAAAATAATATGGGTTGGGTTAGTAAAAAAAATAATAATTATGGGTTAGGGTTAATAAAAAAATAATAAAAAATAATAATAATAATAATAATAATAATGGGTTTGGGTTAAAATAAATAAATATGGGTTAGGGTTAATAAAATAAAATTGGGGGGGGTTAAAATAATAAATATGGGTTAGGGTTAAATAATAATATATGGGGGGGGGTTAATAATAATAATAATAAAATTTTTGGGTTAGGGTTAAAATAATAAAATTAAAGGGTTTGGTTAATAATAATAATAATATTGGGTTAGGGTTTAATAAAATAAAATAATATATGGGGTTTGGGTTTAAAATAAATAGGGTTTGGGTAAAATAAAATATATGGGTTAGGGTAAAAAAAAATATATGGGGAGGGTTAATAATAATAAATAGGTTGGGTTTAAAAATAATATATTGGGGGTTTGGGTTAAATAATAATAAAATTGGGGTTTGGGGTTTAAAAATATAATATAGGGTTTTTGGGTTAAAATTTAAAATATGGGTTTGGGTTTAATTTAAAAATAATAATGGGTTAGGGTGAATAATAATAATATATGGGTTTGGGTTTAAAAATAATAATATTGGGGTTAGGGTTAAAAATAATATATATGGGTTAGGGGTTAAAATAATAAAATAATTTTGGGTTTGGGTTAATAAAAAATATAAATAGGGGGAGGTTAATAATAATAATAATAATTTGGGTTAGGATTTAAAAATAAAAAAATAAAATAAAATTTTGGGTTAGGGTTTTTTAAAAAAAATATGGGTTAGGGGAAAAATAAAAATAATATATGGGTTAGGGTTTATAATATAAAATAAAAAAATAAATATGGGGTTTGGGTTAATAAAAATAATAATAAAATATGGGGTTTGGGTTATAATAATAAAATAATGGGGTTTGGGGGAATAAAAATAATAATATATGGGTTAGGGTTAATAATAATAATAATAATAAAATAAATAGGGTTAGGGTTAAAAATAATATAAAATAATAATGGGAGGGAATAATAATAAAAATAAATATGGGGAGGGTTTTAAAAAAATACTATATGGGTTAGGGTTTTAAAAAAAAATAAAAATAAATATGGGGGAGGGTTTAAAAAAATAATAATAAAAAAAATAAAAAAAAAATAATAATATATGGGGTTTGGTAATAAAAATAATAATATAGGGTAGGGTTTAATATAATATATGGGTTAGGGTTAATAATAAAAAATAGGGGTTGGGTTTAATAATAAAAAATAATGGGTTAGGGTTTTAAAAATAATAATATAGGGGGTTTGGGTTTAAAAATAATAATAAAAATATTGGGTTAGGGTAAAATAATAATAATAATTAGGGTTGGGTTAATAAATAATAAATAAAATATATGGGTTAGGGTTTAATAATAATTTTGGGGTTTGGGTTAATAAAAAATAATATATGGGTTAGGGTAATAAAATAATAAAATAATATAATAATTTAATAATAATAAAATAATAAATTTTGGGTAGGGTTTAAAATAAAATAAAATAATAATGGGTTAGGGTTAATAATAATAATAAAAATAAATAGGGTTTGGGTTAATAATATATATGGGTTAGGGGGAAAAAAAATAAAATATATATGGGTTAGGGTTAATAAAAATAAAAAAAAAAATATAATAATAATTAATTAAAATATGGGTTAGGGGGTTTTAAAAATAATAAAAATAATAATAATAAAAATAATAATAAAATAATAAAAAATATAGGGGGTTTGGGTTTATAATAATAAAATAATAATATAAAATAATTTGGGTTAGGGGGAAAATAATAATTAATTATGGGTTAGGGTTTTAAAAATAATAAATATGGTTTTGGGTTAAAAAAAATATTTGGGTTGGGTTTTAAAAAAATAATAAAATAAGGGGGTTTGGGTTAATAAATAATAATATAGAGTTAGGGTTAAATAATATAATAAGGGTTAGGGTTTTAATAAAAAATAATAATTATATTGGGTTAGGGTTAATAATAAAAAAATAATTATTGGTTTTGGGTTTAAAAATAAAAATATTGGGGGAGGGTTAATAATAATATATATGGGTTAGGGTTTTAATAATAATAATAACAATTATGGGGGAGGGTTTAAAAATAATTATATATTGGGTTAGGGTTAATAAAAATAATATTGGGTTAGGGTTTAAAATAATACATATGGGTTTGGGTTAATAATTTAAAAATTAAAATAAATATGGGGTTGGGTCAATAAAAATAATATATGGGTTTTGGGTTAAAAATAAACTAATGGGTTAGGGTTAATAATAATAAAATTTTAAATTGGGTTAGGGTTAATTTAAATAAAAATTGGGTTAGGGTTAATAATAATACATATGGGGAGGTTAAAAAAATAATAAAATATATGGGTTGGGGAATAAAAGAATAAGAATAATGGGTTAGGGTTAATAATAATAATATATGGGTTAGGGTTAATAATAATAATAATAATAACAATATATAGGGGTTAGGGTTAATAATAATAATAATAATATATGGGTTAGGGTTAATAATAATAATATGGGTTAGGGTTAATAAAATAATAATATATGGGTTAGGGTTAATAATAATACTATATGGGTTAGGGTTAATAATAATAATAATAATATATGGGTTAGGGTTAATAATAATAATATATGGGTTAGGGTTAATAAAAATACTATATGGGTTAGGGTTAATAATAATACATGGGTTAGGGTTAAAAATAATAAATATGGGGAGGGTTTCTAATAAAAATTAAAGGGTTAGGGTTAATAATTACATATGGGTTAGGGTTAAAATAATATATGGGTTAGGGTTAATAATAATAATAATATATGGGTTAGGGTTAATAATAATAATAATAATGGGTTTGGGGTTTAAAAATAAAATTTGGGTTTTGGGTTAAAAAAAAATATAGGGTGGGTTTTAATAATAATAATATAGGGGGAGGGTTTAAAAAATAATAATAATGGGGGAGGGTTTAAAATTTAAAAATGGGTTAGGGTTAATAAAATACTATTGGGGGTTTGGGTTAATAATAAAATTGGGTTAGGGTTAATAATAATAATAAATAGGGTTAGGGTTTAAAAATAATAATATGGGTAGGGTTAATAAAAAAAAATATATGGGTTTGGGTTTTAAAAATAAATAGGGGGAGGGTAATAAAATAATATATGGGTTAGGGAATAAAAATAATATAGGGGGGGGGTTAATAAACTATATGGGGGTTAGGGTAATAATAATAATAATAATAATAATAATAATAATAATAATAATAATATATGGGTTAGGGTTAATAATAATAATACTAATATATGGGTTAGGGTTAATAATAATAATAATATATGGGTTAGGGTATTAATAATAATAATTTAAAAATAAAATATAACAATAATAATAAAAATTTAATTTAAATTTGGGTTAGGGTTTAATAATATAAATAAAATTATGGTTAGGGTTTAATTTAATAATACTATATGGGTTAGGGTTAATAATAATCATAATATGTAATATCTCCTGTCCACTAGGGGAGCCAGACCGTGAGCTGATCCCCAGAGAGAGGGTGTTGGAGCAGATCCTTCCTGATCTGCAGACGGACTCCAGGGGCGTGGCCACCTACAGGGGGGTGGGGTTTGAGGTGCGGGGGAAAGGCCTCTGTAGAGCCCCAACCCTCACCAACAGCAGTATCAAATAAATACACAGTCACACACACAGGGGAACGGACACACACACACACACATACACACACACACACACACACACACAAACACACACACACACACACACACAGAGGAGGAACACACCCGCGCGTGGGAACAGATGGACACAGACATACTCAGCTGAATACTAGAGATAGTAACTCTTCAGACATACTCATGGGTAAGCTTTAAGCTGATTGTTGTTTTCAGAATGTGAGGAACTTTCAATAAAAGTTTTTGACAAATGTTGAAACATGGTGGATTTCTTTATTTTTCCTCATGTATATTATAAATCGAAGTGAAAAGCTTTGGACTCACTAAATACATTGAGTAACACAAAGAGATATGTGAGAAACACAGATTTCACCTCACTATGAAGCTGTCCCTGTCAATGACCCAACACTATGGAGGGAGATTTCATCTCACTATGAAGTTGTCCCTGTCAATAACAGATAGACAGTGAGATGTGTATGAACAGAGAGACAGTGAGATGTGTATGAACAGAGAGACAGTGAGATGTGTATGAACAGAGAGACAGTGAGATGTGTATGAACAGAGAGACAGTGAGATGTGTATGAACAGAGAGACAGTGAGATGTGTATGAACAGAGAGACAGGGGATTTTGTATGAACAAAGGGGAGGAGTAGATGTGTATGAACAGAGAGCAGTGAGATTTTGGGATGAGAGAACAGAGAGACAGTGAGATGTGTATGAACAGAGAGGGGGCAGTTGAGTGTGTATGAACAGAGAGACAGTGAGATGTGTTTTGAACAGAGAGACCAAATGAGTGTGTATGAACAGAGAGACAGGGAGAGTGTATGAACAGAGAGACAGTGAGATGTGTATGAACAGAGAGACAGTGAGATGTGTATGAACAGAGAGACAGTGAGATGGGCAGCTGATAGTAACTCTTCATTGTGTCAAAGGTGATTTAGATCTTAGTGTGAATAATATGATGGTCAAACACGTCTGAAAAGCCACTAAACAGTGGACACACTCATATCTATTAAACCAGTGGTGTGTGGTGTATAGTCGGTGGTGTGTGGTGTGTGTGTGTGTGTGTGTGTATGTGTGTGTGTGTGTGTGTGTGTGTCAGTGTATAGTCAGTATAGTCAGTGTATAGTCAGTGAATAGTCAGTGAATAGTCAGTGTATAGTCAGTGTAATAGTCAGTGAATAGTCAGTGTATAGTCAGTGAATAGTCAATGAATAGTCAGTGTATAGACAGTGTATAGTCAGTGTATAGTCAGTGTATAGTCAGTGAATAGTCAGTGAATAGTCAGTGAATAGCCAGTGAATAGTCAGTGTATAGTCATGTATAGTCGAGTATAGGTCGATTAAATAGTCAGTGTATAGTCAGTGTATAGTCAGTGAATAGTCAGTGTATAGTCAGTGTATAGTCAGTGAATAGTCAGTGTATAGTCAGTGTATAGTTCAGTGAATAGTCAGTGAATAGTCAGTGAATAGTCAATGAATAGTCAGTGTCAGGAGAGTTCATGATAGTCAGCTGAATAGTCAGTGATGTCATGAATATCAGTGTAATAGTCAGTGTATAGTCAGAGTGTATAGTCAGCAATAGTCAATGGAATAGTCATGTATGTCAGTGAATATCCGTGTTAATAGTCCTTGGGTAAGTGTGTTTGCGTGTTTTGACAGTTTGTAGTAGTTTTCGTCCCACGTCTATGAACTATCCACGAAACACACACACACACACACACACACACACACACTCACACACACACACACCAGACCACCACACACACACCACACACCTTCCACACATCCACACATCTCACACCACATCTTTTACCAAACCAAAAACAAAAAAACAAAACCAAAACCTCCCCACACCACACACCAACACCCCCACACACAACACCCAAACAAACCCCCCAACAAACACACACCAGACACACACACACCACACCCACACCCAGCACCATACACACACCCACCCACACACCCAGCACATACACACACACATACACACATCACACACCTCACACACACATCACAACACACACACCCACACACAACTAGACCCACGACACACCCGCCCACCACCCACACACCTACACACACCCAACACACACATACATACTCACACATCCGACACCTACACCCACACACAGCACATACACACACAACACCCACACACACATATCACACAACCCCAGACAACACCCACCACACACACAGCCCATCCACACAATGTACACACACACACATAGAGGATTAGACAGGAGCAGTGTGTTTGAAAAGACAGGTGGGTTGTGGCGAAAGCAGGACAGATAGGGTGTATGAATGTTTTCTAACCTGAGCATCATAGGACTAAACAGGTGTGGTTTGCTGTAGAGCGTACGGTCGCTCTCACCACCATATTACCACAATGGAACCCCTTCACGAACCATCATACTCCATCCCGCTCCTCTCCTCCCTCGCCTCTCTCCTCGCCTCTCCTCTCTCTCCTCTCCTCTCCTCATCCCCTCTCCTCCTCACTCCTCTCCTCGATTCCTCTCCTCGTCCTCTCCTCTCCTCTCCCTCGCCTCTCCTCTCCTCTCCTCTCCTCTCCTCTCCTCTCTCACTCCTCTCCGGTGGGTAAAGGAGGAGTATCCATCACTCTCAGTCTGAGGTCTGTCTCCTGTCATCTCTTCCGGAAGAACCTCGGGAACGTCCGGCAGCACAGAAAAAATTCCCTAGTCACGGAATTCCCAGACCGTTCCGTCCGGAACTCTGTTCTACCAATCAGAGCGTTCCCCACAGAGCTCCTCTCACTCTGGCCCTCGCCCAATAGCAGCACGTTCAGGGTCAGAACCTTCTGGTCGTCCTGGAGACAGTTATTGCCGGGATCACCATGGAGACATTGGTTGCTTTGACTGTGATGGCAGTCGTCCTGGTCAGTTTTTTGGTTGGCAGGGTCCATGGCTGTGGGGATTGATTGATTGAATGATTTAGAGGCTCATATTGAGGCCTCCCTCTCTCATCAGAACCTTGGCAGCAAGGACCCTTGAAATGTTATCTAATATACTGTACGTTTAACCACTCAACAGTTGGCTCAAACACACACACTCACACACACACACGCACACACACACACACACCACACACACACACCACACACACACACACACACACACACACACACACACACACACACCACAGGGGGCTGCTGAGGGGAGGACGGCTCATTATAATGGCTGGAATTGAATGAATGGAATGGTATCATGTGTTATGACTTAAAGATTGCTGTACACCAGCGGGACCCATCCAACTTGAAGGAGCTGGAGTAGTTTTTCCTTGAAGAATGGGTAAAAATCCCAGTGGCTAGATGTGCCAAGCTTATAGAGACATACCCCAAGAGACTTGCAGCTGTAATTGCTGCAAAAGGTGGCTCTACAAAGTATTGACTTTGGGGTGAATAGTTATGCACGTTCAAATGTTCTGTTTTTTTGTCTTATTTCTTGTTTGTTTCACAATAAAACATATTTTGCATCTTCAAAATGGTAGGCATGTTGTGTAAATCAAATTATACAAACCCCCCCAAAAATCCATTTTAATTCCAGGTTGTAAGGCAACAAAATAGGAAAAATGCCAAGGGGGGTGAATACTTTCGCAAGCCACTTTACGTTTTTGTCCAGAAATAGTCAGGCCCCATTCAGCCCACGGTGGTACCATCAGTCATTCAGCCCACTCAAGTGTGTGTTCCTGTGTGGTGCCATCAGTGTGTGTTCCTGTGTGGTGCCATCAGTGTGTGTTCCTGTGTGGTGCCATCAGTGTGTGTCCCTGTGAGGTAACCATCAGTGTGTGTCCCTGTGTGGTGCCATCAGTGTGTGTCCCTGTGTGGTGCCATCAGTGTGTGTTCCTGTGATGTAACCATCAGTGTGTGTTCCTGTGTGGTGCCATCAGTGTGTGTTCCTGTGATGTAACCATCAGTGTGTGTCCCTGTGTGGTGCCATCAGTGTGTGTCCCTGTGTGGTGCCATCAGTGTGTGTTCCTGTGATGTAACCATCAGTGTGTGTTCCTGTGTGGTGCCATCAGTGTGTGTCCCTGTGTGGTGCCATCAGTGTGTGTTCCTGTGAGGTAACCATCAGTGTGTGTTCCTGTGTGGTGCCATCAGTGTGTGTCCCTGTGTGGTGCCATCAGTGTGTGTCCCTGTGTGGTGCCATCAGTGTGTGTTCCTGTGTGGTGGCCATCAGTGTGTGTTCCTGTGTGGTGCCATCAGTGTGTGTCCCTGTGTGGTGCCATCAGTGTGTGTTCCTGTGTGGTGCCATCAGTGTGTGTTCCTGTGTGGTGCCATCAGTGTGTGTCCCTGTGTGGTGCCATCAGTGTGTGTTCCTGTGTGGTGCCATCAGTGTGTGTCCCAGTGTGGTAACCATCAGTGTGTGTCCCTGTGTGGTGCCATCAGTGTGTGTCCCTGTGTGGTGCCATCAGTGTGTGTTCCTGTGTGGTGCCATCAGTGTGTGTCCCTGTGTGGTGCCATCAGTGTGTGTTCCTGTGTGGTGCCATCAGTGTGTGTTCCTGTGTGGTGCCATCAGTGTGTGTCCCTGTGTGGTGCCATCAGTGTGTGTCCCTGTGTGGTGCCATCAGTGTGTGTCCCTGTGTGGTGCCATCAGTGTGTGTTCCTGTGTGGTGCCATCATGTGTGTTCCTGTGTGGTGCCATCAGTGTGTGTTCCTGTGTGGTGCCATCAGTGTGTGTTCCTGTGTGGTGCCATCAGTCTGTGTCCCTGTGTGGTGCCATCATGTGGTATTCCAGTGTGGTGCCATCAGTGTGTGTTCCTGTGTGGTGCCATCAGTGTGTGTTCCTGTGAGGTAACCATCAGTGTGTGTTCCTGTGTGGTGCCATCAGTGTGTGTTCCTGTGAGGTAACCATCAGTGTGTGTTCCTGTGTGGTGCCATCAGTGTGTGTCCCTGTGTGGTGCCATCAGTGTGTGTTCCTGTGAGGTAACCATCAGTGTGTGTTCCTGTGTGGTGCCATCAGTGTGTG